CATTTGCTCAAAGCATTTAATCCCAACACAGTTTTTGTACAGACACTGACACTGTTTATGGTGAATCTGGTTTTCTAGCCTGGGTAGGACTGGCCTCCTTTCTATCCAACAAATTACTTTGTTAACCTCTCACACGAGCAAGCAATAAAGATTTTGTTGAGTTCAAAAATATTGTACCTGACAGTGAAATGAGAAAGTATGAGAATCCGTGTGTGCCCTTTTCCCCCCATTCACACAAATTCTTGCAGTTCCTGCAATCAAGCTAGAAGGATACAGTAGTGATGACAGTTCAGAACATTCCAGCTAATTCATGGCTTTAATTTACCAAGGTCTGATATTGTCACAACTAACCAACTGAAGGCAACACAGAAACAGCAAGGAGCAGGAAGACTTACTAGGTCATGCGACAAAGCCTTTAGAGAATGGTCAGGATATTTCAACTGCCTTCTCATGGCATTTCTGGGATACCTCAGTGAAGAGCTGCCCAGACTAAGCAACACGTCCCTTTTGGTGCCAGTATAGGATTTCATCTCTGAAAGGTGAGGCTGACAAATTGGAACTAATCTAAGACGGTGTGGTACAGTCATCTCGCCTGCAGGGACACATTTCAGCATTCAGCTGCAGAATGCCAGCTTAAGAACAAGCTCTCGATAAAGGAAAGTTCAGGCCAAGCCTGGGGATGCACGACTTTTAAATCAAGAACACTTTTTTTCCCTTAGTCTACCCCCACCTCCCTGGGGATAGCAATAGGTTCAAAAGATGATAATGCTATACTGCAAACAGGGAGAAAAGTTGAGAAATCTCTCTTCCCTGCACTACTTTTCCTTTATTTCCTAAAGCTGTTTCACAGTTTAATCCATCAGAGAGAGTGAGATCAGTGTTATGGAGAAACTCACAAATATTTTTATTTTTGTGCCACGTTCTTTCAAACTAGAGGTAAAGATCAAGTCATGAACCATCCCCAGCAAAAAGGATCTTTCAATTGAGGTGAGAGCTGAGGACAAGTTGCCAGTGAGAATGAAGGGCATATTATGCTGAATACTCAGTATTTCAGCTGGGTCAAACAATGGCATCTTCCTGGGCTATTTCATTAACAATGTGACATAAAAATTCACACACTGTAACAGCAAAGCCAGTTGCACTTAGAGGTGCAGTAATACCAGCCTTTAAAGACTTCAAGAAAGGAATGAAGCCTGTCTTCCTGTTTTGAGAGAGACTCTACATCCTTGACCACAATGAACAGCAGGTATCTGTCATTATCCTATATGTTAGGAGGAGCTTGGTATATTCATGTGGCAACAAAAGGACTATGGAGGGATTTTTTTCACTGAGAGTTGAGTGTAGTAGTCATCCTCACAGAAGTGTGTGATGCCAGCAGAGCAGCAATCAGGTATCACTGCTAGCAGAAGCAATCCCAGTTGGCCATTCAGTACTTTGGCTTGTGGGTGAATTTGCACTCTGAGGGCTCCACTTCTCTGTGCCTAACCCCCCTGACACTCCTACCCAGCCCACTCCAATCTATTGTGGTGTGGTTTGCTTATGCTTTTTCATTTCTCTCTTCTTTTCAGAAAGAAACAGACGAAAGCAAACAGTTAAATATTCTGATTTCTAACCAGCCAGAAATTTCACTGGAAACAAAGTCTAGTAGAGGCAGTTTCACCAATTCTCTTAATTTATGTACCTACATTATTAAAAGATGGAACTGCACAAGTTCACTTTCTATGAAAAAATGTATGTCCTAAGATTACAATCAAATTGCAACTTTTTACCATTGGTTTAAAACAAAAAAAACCCCCAAAAAACCAAAACCAAAGCCCTTTTTTTTTTTTCTAAATTGTGTATAAACCTTCCAAACATTCTAAATTAGGGGAGATGCTTAACCACCCTGTAAGTCACACAAAGCACCTTGTGTTTTCATTCCTGACTCTATGGGTCCACAAATTCTCTTGCATAAACTTGAATAAATCAGGAAAGTTTAGCACCCCATTTCCATGCAACCTGATATACTGAACACTGACATTCATTTCCGTGACCATTTTTTTTAGAGCTGCCTCAATGTACATGCAACACATAAACAACTTTCCTCACAGATGTGTCTGTGCCACGAGCACTTGTGCTTTATAGCTGGGATATTACACTCACTTGTTGCTGGTTATGAACATTTCACCACATGAAAGTCCCTCTGGAGTCACAACCCATTTGGTCTGTTCTCTTGAGAATGAGCAACAGTTTATAGAAAACAGGCAATTCTTGGCAGCATTGTTGCAGATTTGGATTGAACTCCTAAACCTCACTTTGCAAGAACAAAGGAACAAGGGTTTTGGAGGAGAGCGCAGGACCCACACCCTTGGTGAAAGCCCTGCATCCCCAAAATGACAATGAAGGAAATCTCATCAGCCAACTGTTACCATATCATTCTGGGTAAATGAGTGGTTAGTTCCTGATCTGATCTCAGGAGAACTAGTACATCCCATCCCTTCTATGAGAACTGCTGACATACTCAGGCTTTTAATGGTGCCCACTGTGCCTGGGATTTCAGAGGACAGTGAAGTGCATCCGACAGTGTACTTTGCCAATTGTACAAAGCTGTGTACTGGTGGGGTAAAAAAAAAAAACCAACCCTCTCTCACACTGGCAGGAGATCAATTTACAAACTCAAGCATGAGGTTTAATTACCCATTTCATTATCTTAGCTTGCATAGCTCTGAATGTGAACCTTCAATGAACCAAAGAAATAGTCACCAGCTGCTGCTTTGAGAAAGAGGGAGATAACAGGAAGGAGAAGTTCAAATGCCTAAAACTGCTCTTGCTGCATATGGCACCCCTGTTTGCAAAAGCAGGGGATTGTCCCCAGCCAACAGATCTGTGTTAGACCACACTACAAGGAAGACTTCTGAAAGTTCTATTTATGTGCTAATCTGAACTAAGACCAAAAGAGATGAAACGAAGTTATCTAGCCAATCACTGAGAAGCCTCAGAGTTAAATTTTCAAATATAAGCAAGTGATCCTTAGAGATTTTTTTAGAAATTCATCCAGTAAATTCAAGCAAATAAATTGTGATGTGCTTGTGGATTTTGTATAAGCAGGAAATAAAGTGTTTGCTGTAAATTATTCACTCAGCACTAGTTAACTGCAATGCTGGCACATTACTGGGCTTTTTAATATTCTTCTCAAGATAATAGGTAGCATTTTGCTTATGATCCTAATTTTTAAGTTATTAGTTACATTAGGCCATTTGTAAATACAGTGAAGAATTGCAGGAAAATCAAATGTTTTTCCAACCACCTCATTAGAAGTCTCTTTAGTTCAGGAGGGTCAAAAATCCTGCATATCATGAAAAGTTAAACCAACAGTATATCATCAGGCTCAGCAATTCCAAATTAATTCACATGCCCTTTCATAGTACCTGGTTTCCCAAATGGCTTTTCAAGTTACGAGCCATAGGCATGTCTGTAAAGCTGTATGCCTCTCGAAAAATTATAAATAATAGTGCAGGGGGAAAACCTACAGGGCAGGTGAATTTACAGGGGAAAACAAAAGCTGCTTAATTGCAACTGGAATTGATTATGTGCAAAGCACCTGGAACAGAGAAAGCAGAGAGCTGTTTTAGGGTTTAGAGCTGTTTTAGCTGTTTTTATTCCTGCATGGTGACACATTCTCATAAATTCCTAGTGCTGTCAGATGCCATTGCTGAAACATCACTACCTGATTTTGGATTTGCCAAGATTTGAGTTATCAGTGCAGCTGGAAGGAGACCATGTGTTCTTAAAAGTTTCACTTAATACATATATAAGCACCATAGAAATCACCCATGCAACTCCCTGCTGCCTTAGTTTAGTAAGCAGCAAAGAACAGAAGGGCTAAGAAGCACATATCATAAAATCATATAGGTTGGAAAAGACCTCTAAGACCACTGAGTACCACCATTAACCCAGCTCTGCCAACTCCACTGCTAAACTCTGTCCCTAGGCCACACATTTTTTTAACACTTCCAGGGATAGTGATTCCACCACTGCCCTGGGCAGCCTATTCCAATGCCTAACCACCCTTTCAGTAAAGACTTTTTTCCTTAATATCCAATCTAAACCTCCTCTGGCACAACTTGAGGCTGTTTCCTCAACAAAGAACTGCCAGCAGCCCCATTTTCTGCACCTTCTAGCTTCTTCCTCAGTGGTCTTCTCAACCACACAATAACCCAGTCTTATTCTGCTTAGCAATGCAATACCTAATTAGATCAAAGCTCAAGGTAGTCTGGCTACAGAGTGAATTGTGTTATTTAGTCTTGCACTGTAGGCAAAACCACATGCAGTATATTACATTTCTCAGGGGCTTCTCCAGAGAACTGTGTGGTACATGTAATTGCCCCCACAAACAAATCATCAACTAATCAACTGCTTTTCATTATCACCTCCAGCAGCACATTTATTTTGTAAATAAATGCATTAAGAGCAAACAATTTTAGAGAAAACAAAAGATTATCTGAATACGATCTTAACAGAGGAGGTGGCAAAGTAGTAATTCAAATACTAAAATGAAGTGAAATTAGCATAGGGTGGAATGATTATTCCATTCCATGTATCCCTATCTATTGCAGTACAATAACAGAGTGAAATCTGTGACTTTAATGGATGATCTGAGTAGTCGAAGGGAACTTTGATTGACTGACACATTTACATAGAGGCTGATGAGCAGCATAATGAATGCATTTATAAAACACAGCTAAGGTCTAACTCTAAGCTGATGTCAACTCCCACACTTATAAGAGGCTTGCAGAGCAGTTACCCTGCTATCTTGAAGAGTTGGTCTCTACCTCCTGAAGCAAACAAATTTTCTTTTGTGAGCTCACTTCCCTGACAGGAACTCCAGGAAACATGGCCATATGTGACTCTCCAGTTTAAGAGAAATTAATTGAACCAAGCCATGTAAGATTCAGTGACAAAACAGTGCAGGGTGTATAAGGCAGATACAACAATACACAGATTCATACCCCACACCATACCTGTAATTTCCTAGATAAACTCCATCAGGATTGAGCATGGGTGCAATCTTGAAGACCAGGTGGTCTCTCAGTACTTTTGCAATAGGATGTTGGCTCACAAGGAAATCAATTATACCTGAGAAAAACAGAAGAAGGAGTTTAAATAGAGTGGGTTATGACACCAATGATTTCCAGATATCTATCTGAACTTTCACGTATAAAAGAACAGAATGATCATTCCTCTTGGTTCCTGGCACTGCTCCTGTTTTCAACAGAACAAACCACTTGCAATCACATAACACTTGCCATCTTCTTACAACTCCAAGAACTTTAAGGAGAAATACCTTAGTCCATCCTCATGATGCAAGTACACTGTGGCTACATTATCAGACACTGTCAAGTTTCCACAGAGGGAGAAGTTACTGCACATCAACTGAAGCACAGCAGCAAAACATTTCTCCTCCTAAGTGATGAAATGCAAACACCTTACATACCCAGCCTGCATACATGGGCTCATACTGCAGTGCAGCTCACGAGTGGCAATTTGAGAAGCTGATGCACCTCAAATTCATTTGAGCACATGCCCAAACCTACCTTTGAGGTATGAACACAGAGTTCAGACCATCTGCATGTACAAAGAGGAATAAAATGCCTCATAAAAATTGGGAGAGTTACATAATCTCTGTACCAGGCACAGAGAAATTGTGGGATTGCTAGACTGGAATTTATAAAGTCATATTCTTCACTTATTTTACACTCACAGAAACCAGGAGTAACTCCACCTCACCAGCTCTGTTAATGTGAAACCAAGGCGAGTGGCAGGGGAAGCAGATCCTAAATGCCCTTCCTTCAGGCACATCACAGCACCAGAGCCCACAGGAGCTCCTGCCTCTTGGCCCTGTGCTCAGGGAATGACTAAACATTGCCTCCCTCCAAGGCTGGTGCTGGGGCAGGAGGCAGGAATCTGGCAGTTAAATTCATTGCTTATTCCTTCATTGAGCTGGTACTGACAGAAATAGCTTCCAGGGAATTAATGTTGAGATAAATTGAGTTCCTGTGTAATCTCAGGACACCCACAGATAGGTCATGACAATTTGCTATTTATTGTAAGGTCCATCCTGTGAAGCAGGAACCATTTACCGAATTTCTCCAGAATAAATCAATCACTACGGTCTAGTAACAGGATAAAATTAAGCAGAGAAAAATTAAGGCCGCTCATCAGTAAAATTTCACTAATGGCAAGCTCTATTAGACTGTGGAATTGTCTCTCCAGGGTAAGAGTGGAATCCTGTCATCAGAAACAATCAGCGTTGGACAGGGTAAAGCCTGAGGGAATAGATGTAACAAGCAACAATTCAGCAGAGAAGAGATGGCATGGGCTAACTAGCTGACTTCAAAACAGCTGACTTTAGACCTGATTTTTTGTGATTCAGTCAAAATATTTAAAAACAAACTAAAACCCAGGTACATGTCAGGTTAAATGCACTTGTTTATAGCTTGGCTGAAACATACATTAAAGATGGGACCAGAATCTCACATTCTGTACAAGTCCTTCATTTAACTTATTTCCTAAGCCCATTTTGTATTTCAAATACTAACAAATCTGAATGTATGCTGCTGTAGGAATGAATTCTAATTTGCTGAAGCACATGGAGAAGAACGAGGCTTCTGAATGTCTAAGATGATCAAGGTATAATTGACTCTAAACATCAGCAATTTTTTCAGCTATTAGTGACTAATCCTGAAGAGGAGAAAGTCCCTTTCTGTAACCAAGTCTTCCACTTGAGAAAAGACTAAACCTGAATTTCTGAGGAAAATTAGCATATACATAATTATATTGCTCAGGAAATGTTTCTGCAATTACCTCCTCCCAACGAAGGAAACTGAACATCGATCTGCTTTTTGGCTGGTGTTGTGACTTTTGTTCATTATACAACAGCAAGAACACGAAGAAATGACGGGGACACAGTTGGATCCTAAATAACCAGATTTCCTAACTGTATGCAAACATGAAAAGCTTAGCTATGTTAAACTGCTGCTCTAACTGTTTTCTGGCAGTGTCTAAAACATACTCCAGAGCACGCACACCTGGAGGGCTCCAAACTACTTAAAGGGAAAAAAATCCCTCACTTAGTCCATGGCTTCTTGAGACACTGTGCTGGTTTTAGTTTTAAAGAGCATGCAACTAGACTCAACTAGACTCAAACACATCAGTTTATGTTTTCTAAAACACTTAGAAGAGTTAACTGTTCAGAAATCAGTATATCCAGAACAACTTTTATCTAGGTCAGGTATGACCTTTCAAGGCAGCCGCAATAAAACCAGCATAAATATTGTATCGTGTACATGATTATCACTTCCCCAAACGCCTTGGCAGAACAGTTTTGCCATGCAATCTGGCAGCACTCCAAGCATGCATATGCTACAGTTCTTCATGCAGCAGAGAGGACCATGAATACATCAGGAATAACATGACTGCTTTTTATTCAGGAGGTAATACAAGAGCCCAAACTCTCAGAGCTTTGCTCTGGCTGTAACTGTGCCAGGGAAGAGGCTTATCCAGGTTCTGCTCATTTTGCTCCTGTTATCGATGCAGCCTCACTCACAGAGTTTGGCAAAGGCATCTTGGCAACTAGAAGCTACAGTTTTCAGCTTCACATGGGGAATTATTATTCCCTAAGCAAGAACATGCTATGACGTGGAAAACTGCATATAAACACATAATGGGTGAACCTCTGCTCTGTGTGATTCACTGTTGCACCTGACTAAAGGGAAGCCACTGACCTCGGGCACACAGGAGCTTGGTGTCAAACAAGACCCAACATTTCCCAATATACCACAGTCTATTAGGGGACACTGCAGCAAAGTTCACCCAATCCAAAGAGATTTACTTTATTTTCTTATTGAGGATACAGTTAATTAAGCCTGAAGAAGCCTTACCCTATTATAAAAATAGAAAGCAAGAGTTAAAAATAACTGACTCACAGAAGTCTAACCTGGAAGTCAAGGCAGTTCTAAGGAACAGAAGAGAGGCATCAGATGAAAGCATACATTTACATATACAAACCTCACCATAAAATTATTGTAAGCATCTAAATAATCAATACTATTAGCAAATAGCTTTGTCTTTCAAAGGAACCCAATAGTTCTGAACCCTCTGAAATAGTCTGGATCAATAACATTTACAATAAAAGATATCAGACTATTAAAAAAAATACCATCACAGAGAACTTGGTCCTCCTGTTAATAAATCAATACAAACTAAATTTTACAGCTTCTGTAATCAGCAAGAGACATATCAGTGTATCTCATTAGGCCAGGGTTAAGAATTTGGCAGCAACCAAAGCCCATTTAATATCATTTACTTCAAGGCAGACATGGCAATACAACAGATGCCCTAATTTATTTGTTGATCTTTGTATTAAAATAACAGTTTGCTGGTAAACAGGAAGGGTAATGATGCCAGTCACCCTTGTTAGTGGCTAATAATTGCTTAATTTGTCCACTAATTGACCTGTGCTACTGTTGAAGCACTGGATCGTGTTGCAGGGCATGAAGTAAACAAGGCCACTGTAATGTTACTTTAGAGAATGACTTCTGGAAATAGAACTACTTATTGCTATAAATTTTCTCTTCACAGATGAGCAGATTAATTGGTCTGCCAATTAGTCTGCTATTAAAGAGAAAAAAGGCTGCCCACAGATTGGTTGGATCTCCGAACTGCAGCCCCAGTTTGGGTCAAAGGAAATAATCCAATCTGAATCAGTCACATCAGCTATGAAAAACAAGACAAGCATTATTTGAAAAAACAACAAATCTCTGTAGCTGGAGATCAAGGAAAATAGCCCAATAACAAGGTATTAACTCTCCAAGGGACTTCAAAATAAAATGGAGAACATGATGGAATGGGTCTACTCAGGCACATTACTGTGTGGAAAAGTTCTCCAATTAAAAGAAGCAAAACAATATTGATTATTTTCCTATCAAGCTTTCTGGAAAGCAATTAAAATCTTGGTTTTCCAAATAATAACATGCAATTATAGATGCTGCCTGGAACCAGAACAGCTCAGACATCAGCATTCAGCCACAACATAAGAAGAGGCTTATCCATAGTTCACTAAAAATCCAAACAAAGTTTTTATGTTAACTTCAAGGAGCTTTTCATAGTTGTGAGGGAAAGGAAAGATAGAATTGAAAACAAGGAAAATGGAAACAATACTGACAACTGCAAGTATTAGATACACAGCCACACTGGCTCCAAAAACTTTAGTAGTTTTGTAACAGTCTTTCTTGGTAAACACAGCTTCCCTGAAACTGCACTAAATTTGGACCAAATTTCCTCTACTCCAAGTCATTTCTCTATCATTATTCTTTCTCAAGGCCAAATGCGTTTTTTAAAATTTCTCTTGCCTTCTGCAGCTTGGCACCTCTCACCTACTCCCACTCTAGATCCTGTGGCACCTCTCTGCCCACCCCAACCCAGTTCAAATTAATTACTGGTGCCTCACGAGCAAGTTGGTCATTCAGTCTTCCATAGCATGTCATTTCCACTCTTCTGTCAAGATATTTCCTTAATCAACCACCTTAAACTCTGTTTAAACTTCCTGCTGGCTCTAACATGACCTCTCCACATTTGCTCTTTCCAAAGAAAAGCCTGTCTTATCCCCTGTTTTTTCCATTACTCCATCCTTTCACCCTCAGTCTGACAATATATTTAATTGTATAACTATATAATACGTTTGCCCTGCTCCTATTACTGAAAATCTAATCAGCACAGATCCTAATGCAATATGGCAACTGCTAATGCAAACGTATCCTGGACTGTATCTAGTATATGTCAAGAAAGAAGTGATTTATGTTTTCAGACCCATTTCTTAATACTGAGTAGCTGCTGGTATCCTGCAGTCAGCTCACCATAGTCTGCAGGTTAAAAAGAATTTGACAATTGGGCTCTAACAGCAATAGGATATATTCATTGGAAAATAAATATAAGGGAGTCCTGAATGCTTATGCTCACATAAAACTATTGAAAAGTACTGTTAAAGGAGTCAAAATACAATGTGAATGACACTATACTGACATTTTAGTGGAGAGTAGGAAAGCAAAAATATGGTGTTGGGCTTTTACAGAGTTTAT